AAACCCGGTTTAAACCGGAGAGGCTTTTGCAAAACCAAAGCCCAAATTATGATTAAATGTACATCTGTGATTAGCTGTCAGTGATTTACATTTCTTTTCAAATACAAGATTTATATTAATTGACGGAGAAATTTTAATGCTCTTTCGGTTTAACTAATGTATGTCAAACCACACTGAAAAGATACGCTATAAATTCTACAAGAATTAAAATTAGAGGTGGGCTTTTTAATAATTGAACAATAAATTCTACTGAAAAGAGAGACAATAGCTAGAACAAGGACTTGTAGAGAACCCAAGCAATTTTGTAGATTACAGAAGGATTTAACAGCAAGATGAGAATCCAGTTAGGATTATTTCTTATAGCAACAGTGTGACAACTTTGATGACAAGTAATTTTGACTTATAAAAGTACTTAAAGTACCTTTACGAGTCATTTTCTCCTCTTTTGTAATTTATGATGTATTTTTCAATATAAACATCTGTTAAAAGATGTTTTATAAAATGTAGTTTTTTCCATTCTATGCTAAAGATCCTGAAATATATATGTGCAATAACAAAAATAAAAATAACATCTATCAAAACTGAGCATTTGCAACAGACAAACGCAAAATGGTTTAAATGCTTGATTTCTTTAATCCATTTTTCTTTAATTTTCATTAATAAATTTGAAAGAGTAATAATAAAATGAAATTTACATAAAAGTCAACACAATTAAATTTACATAATCTGTATTTTTTATTATCAGTATCTTTGTAGTTTGTTACAAGACTGGTGATTGCAAAGTAGAGCCATTTTATTTAAAAAATGAAAATGCTCCGCTTTAGCATACAGCTGCAAAACTTGTAGGATATAACATCAAAGTAAAAGAACTACATTTCTGTAAAATATGTATAAAAATCATTAAGAATTGAAATGTGAACATCCTACCTGACAACATTTCCTAATAATTTCCTATATATGTTGTGTTATATTTGTTATCAGCAGCACATGGCTTGTGTTTTATTGAATTCATCATTAGTAGCACTGGTCTGGTATTCCATTGAAATAAAAGTCTTCACAAGTTTTTACTTAAAAATCTTTACAGTACCTGCTGTTTAATGTAACTTCAAACTTTTCAAATGAAATAATAATTAAAGATTAATTTAGCAATTAATTCTAAAATAATAATAAAAGAAATTATCTACACAATTTTGAAATATATTTTAAAAATTTGTTGTAAAAATAAAATTGCATTCTTAATGAAATTTTATTTCTTACAAACAACTATTCTATTTGTGTTTGTTCCATATTGGTCAGCAATAATTTCTCAGTTGTATTCTTAATTTTGCAGAACAGCTTTTTTAACCAGCACCTTTCAGTTCAAGAGTTTTTCTTAGAATATGAAGTGCTTTTATTATTGATGATGGCATGTCAGCACGTTTTTTTCTGCAGTGCTTTCACTGCCAGTTTCTACAGTTCTTTTACCACTTTTGAAGTCAGTTTTACACAAGTTGTCTCAATATTGTTGTTCACAATTGATACACATTCTAAAAATGAATCTTCGTAACTTCCCTTGCAATTCATCTGAAGCTTCTTCTGCATAAAAGCCACACTGTGTAAATAACAGTTTATGATGACAAGTAAAAGTTTTTCATTGCTTAATAAGTATTTTTATGAGTCATCAATAAAAGCAAGGAGTAGCCCCTATATTGACTATAATATAGTGGTCTCTAGCAGAGATATTGACTTACTCATCCTTTTCAAAGTGTTTGCATTTTCACAAAATTCACATATTTTAATCATTTGCTAAACATCTTATCTGTAATGACATTTAAAAGTTTTTAAGTCCTAAAACTAGAGGTTGAATGGTAGAAGTTGTTTTTGCAGAAAGAGACAGTAATGTTTTTCAAAAAGAGATCACAAGTATGTATGTGCTATACAGTTATCTAATTGGTAAAGCTGTTTATTCATTTCTCAGTTCACTGTCCTATTTAAAAAATAAATAAATAAATAACAGTAAAACTATTACTTTTTCTTGCTTTTATGGTAGGTCAGTAGTACATTCTTTAAACACTTTTCAAACACTGGGGTTTTCTGATTTTGTCAACAATCAGTGCTGTCTTCTTAATTTTGGGGTCCATATTGCACATTAATTAAACAGTAAATTATTCCTTCATTTTCTTAAACCAACTGCTGCTTCATTTTTAAATATTAATATATGTTCAGGTAATGTTCTGTAATGCAGTCCAGTTTCGTTAGTATTACAAGTTTTGTAGGGTTTGTATTTCAAGTAAGCATTTTTTTTTAATCCAGTTATCAGATGCACAATGATCTTCTTTCTCACCATGAAATTTCGGATACACAATGTTGGATTTCTGTTTGTTCCACTTGTGAGCCATCTCTCAGTTGATATAAAACTCTCTGTTCTGTTTTGGTTTGGTTCCTGGAAATCTGAGCATAATAAGTATTATTAACCAGTGAACCTGATAAGCAGAGGGTAGAGTATACATAATGTCATAAGAACATTACATTTCAATTGCTTGTAGGCCTGGTTTGATCTCATAAAAATCATCATTTGCTGATTGGTTTCAATTTCAGGTAGGGGAATTTGCCAATTTGACTTCTAATTTTTCATATATTGATCACAAATCTTGGTCTAGATCTGAAATTGTAGACCATAAATATTTTTCTGTTTGCCTCTTTCATGCAAAATCATGTCATTCTGCTGAATCGAAAATGTCTTCTTTTTTCTTTTGCATACATCATGTTCTCAAAATTTGTCCTTCAAATTTTTGCCTTCTCAGAAACCCAATTATTTGAAATCAACTGCAATCCAGAGGAATTTTTTTTTTCCCCATGGAAAGTGAAAAGGCTTTAAAAAAATATTCCCCTCACCCTCATCAAAGATTTCCTGATATGAGAAATAATCTTAACAATTTTGCGATCATAACATTTCATTTTTTATTGCTTACAAAATTGCGCAGGTTATCCAAAGTTCAGTTTTCAGGTTAAATTCTCAATCATCAGTAAAATTCATTGTTTGATTCTTAAAGATCCCTGTCTGATTTTAATTTTTATGGAATTTATAGTATCATCTGTGCAGGTAGTTTGATATATATTGGCAAAATTAATGCACATTAAAATTTCTCATCAAGGCACAAGAATTCTTGGTTCAGAAAAGAAAAATAAAGCAGTCTTCTATAGCTAACCATAGTTGAGCAGATAATCATAATTTTGATTTTGGCTGAGCTATAGTTTCTTTACTTGGTGAATAGGATTTTCTTGAATATTTCAATATTCAGAAAAATTTTTTTTTAGTTAATGATATTAATTCCGTCCTTTTTCTGCCCACTTCCATTTCATTACTATTTTCTAACAAATAATGCTTGTTTTTATTTTGCACCTCAATTGCTTTATATATATATAATCATTTTGCTTCATTCCCTGCTGCAGTTTTTCTTCCCCTTCTGAAAATTCTCAAAATCTATAATTGCCCCCCCCTGGTAACATCTACCCAACTTTAGACTCCTTTTCTGTCAAATCTTATGTTGATATTATGTCTAATATTAAATAAAGACAAAACATATGGCACTTGACATAAGTCTTCTCACTGTGCAGCATAAAAATAGCCTTGTCTTTGCATACCGTATTTAGTCCTTACTATTTTCTCATAATTTATTATTTGAAGTGTATTTTGCACAGTTTCTTTGTTGATTACCCAGACAAATTTTAATAAAATATTACTGCATGTTTTCATGTAAAATGTTTTGTCACCTAAATGTGCTGTTGCTCAAATGGACATATTGGCTAACAGTTATCTACTAAGTGTCATCTATCCCTATCAAGACCTGTGAGAAATCAATTTTCTTGCCTTACAAGCTGGAATCAAAGAACACAGCTGTCACCGGAAAGTGTACATTTATTGAAAAGCCTCCAATTTTCTTGGTTCTCGTTATAGTTTCTGATTTTGCATAACACATAACTCTGTCCCCCCCCCGGAAATATAAAGAAAAAATTTTTCAAAAATCTGAAAGGATTCAGATTTTAAATTACGCCCAAACAGGCGGTTTTTTAACATTTTGTGTGTCACCTTTAATTATCAAATATCATGTTCTACATCTTCAAACCATAAAATTCAGTTCAACAGCAATATCACGAAATAATTTTAAAATGAGCATATCTTTAGAATTTCTGATACAGTCTCGTGCACTGGAGATAAAAATGTCCCCGCCCAATACAGTATTGCCATTGCTCGCTTTGAAATCGTAGAGTTTGTTAATAAAAAATTTGTTAAAGTTTTACAAAAATCGATAAATTTTAAATTCATTATTCAAATTTTGATGGCTCTAGGTACTGTTGTTTTATCAATATGTGAGAAATATAAACACATTCATGCATATTTTTCAGTATTTAATTTCCTTAAATAAAATACATGGCTCTAATATTTGGTGGCAACAATTGGAAAATTGATTTGCGGTTTATAGTTTATGGGGGGGGGAAAGAGAAAAGAAACCAACTTAAAATCTGATTTTTCAGATTCTAGCTTAATTCCTAATATAAATTTCCACCTTAGGAATAAAACATTTAGACCATTTTTTTTAACAACGAGAAATATTTTTATACACACATTCATACATATAATATGCAAACTAAAATAAAAAATAAATAAAATTTAATTTAATTTAATCCAGGATTATGACATATGATAAGCAATGCTTTTTTTTACAGCTATTATACCATGTTTAGGCTATTACTAACTGATGATAACTAATCAGCTGATAAATTTTTTTTTATAAATTTTATAACCCATGGGTACTAGATACTGGACTAATCACACTCTATTTTGAAAGGATAATGATTTTCACTATTAAAGTAATAACATCTATTTTCATCCAAATGAGCTTTTGTAATCACCATTGAAATGAAGATTAGACATAATCCTTAATAACTGTTACTTAAAATGATTTTCTTTTTAAATTTAAATAAAAATACAAAGGAAAATTAGTTTACGAATATTTGACCTTGGAGGGTCAGTTCCAATAGAGTCAGCAGTAGTTCTTCCATCTGATGCACAACAACACTTAGCATTTGAGTCATCATCATCATCAAAAGGAGGTAATGCCATTGAATCAGTGTCAAGAAATTCTAAATCTTCATAAAATGATGGTATTAGAAATGATATATTCTAGAGCAGGAGAAAAAGAAATTACACTTTTGAATTTCCAAATTTATTTTTTAGTTTCTGGCAATACAGACATGCATACTAATTTGCAACATATATATTGATGCATAACTTTCTTACAACAATGGACTTTACAAAAGTTGTTTTTAAGTACGGTCTGTTTCACAATAAAAGCAAAATAATGTTGCATGCGTATGGGTTCATAATGAATTGAATGCACAAGGTCGGTAAAAAGTTAATAAAATATATTCTTATCTCAAGAAATAAAACAAAATGCTGAAATTTCCTCTTAGATATTGGTAGAATATCTCACAGTAGTTATATTTTAAACTACTAAAATGTTAAATCTCACCGTGAATTCGCTACAATCAACAATAAGAGCTAAGTAAACAACTGAACTGAGATGTTTCGCTCTGGCTTTTTAAAGTTTATGAATCATGCACAAGAACATTCTGGTAATTTTTATTTTCTCGAGGTTTCCGGAAAACAAAAGACTACAATTATGTCTATTTATTAAATGTGCGTGCTCCTGTATTTTTACTTTTTCGGCGTAGCTTTCTCTTAAGATTTGTCACGCATTGCATTGCATGGGAAAATAAAACAATTTTAAGTACAATTCTACTGAAAATAGCTAAATAAATAGAAAATCCATAACAATAAGTTTAAATAAAGAAAAAAGAAACAAATATTTTTTGAATTTGCATAAAATTCTCTATATTTCTGTATAATTTCGTTGTTAGTTGTCATAGCCACCATGGAGTTTTTGGACACTTTCCGTGCAGAGCTCTACCACCTGTGTAGAGTCAGTTATTTATGGTCATTTTCACTTTTCCATCAGTGATTTTTCATTTCTCCATGAAACTGGCTTGAATCTCCTGTCTGCGTGAATTTTGCAACTGCCAGCACCAAATTATCAGAGATTACAGATTGCCACCCAGAGCATGATTCATCACAGACATTTTCCTGACCATCGTTGAATAATTTCATCTATTTTCACATTTTACTGTCTCTCAATGGATTGTCTATATATATCTGGCTATGTATATCTTTAGCTTTCATGTTATTTGCAGCAAAGAAGTAGATACTGACCAAATTTCACAATCAGCAGGCTACTCAATTTTCTCAAGCACTTTAACTTCACACTATGAAATGTACAGACAGACCGTATAAACACAAATGGCATCAGATTTTGCGCAAAGAAGGCTGGGAATCTACATGCTAACTCATTCTCATGTATGCACAATATTTTAATCAGTATTCACAAATGGATCTCACTAAAAAAATAACCCATGTACAATTTCTAAAGTTATTATACATAATTTACACAAATAACAGATATTTTAAATTGTACACACAGTTTACATCGATAAACTATTTTACTTTACTCCTGGATATAGTTTTAAACTGAATAAGTATTTCACCAAAAGTATCCAGACACCACTTTGGGAAAGCAATTACTGAACAACATAGAAGGGTGGATAGTCATACTGAACAGGTCGTACAAATGAGTTAGACAGACAATAAGTAATTTGGTAGAGCTATGTGATTTCCAGTGCGACATGATCATTGTTTGCCATTATTGTAACTAAATGGTTTGTGAAATATAGCAATGTTATATGCACCAAAATCAACTGTAGATGATGTTACTAAAAAACGTAAATCACAAAAAATATAAACCTAAGAAAGTAGCAATAAAAACCTTAAGAAGACAATGAAAAAATCATACATCCCCAGCAGCATAGCTGCCTACCTTGAAATATAAGAAACTGAAGTTTCCAGGGGATTTTCTCTCTGTGTGGTGGCATCATTTCAAAAGAACTCCAAACTGACTTTTAAATGCACAATTCAGGTTGTGCAACTGATGTACAATATATTAATAATTTATTACAATTCTAAATATTTGTGTTCTTTGGGCAACTTTATTTTGTAATTTTCTTACACTTCTAAATTGAAAAAAAATCTGAGTTGGGAAAGTTTGAATTTATCAAGCACGGTGAAAATAAAATTAATTATTAATGCACATACTATTGTGTGGATAAACTTAGTAATGTACCATATATTGATGCAAACTAAACTGCAGAATATTAACTGATTAAATATTGGTTGAATTTTCATATAAAGAACTACAGTTGTCTACAATAAATTAAGACAATACAGATAAAATATAAGAAGAAAAATTATGCTGAAGATAATAGGAAAGAAGGAATAAAATGGATACCATTTAAGTTTCGTTAATTAAATAAGTTTCATTGGTGAAAGATTTTTAATGGTTAAGGCTGAACGTTAAAAATCAACAGATGTGATTTAAAAAAAAAAAAAAAAGAGAGAGAGAGAGAGAGAATCTCCCCGTAAAACCTAGAGAGTTAGAACCTATGCAGTAATAACAGTCACTGAGTTTCAGAATGCTTCTAGCTGCTAATGCCAGGATGTTTCATTAAGAGCTCAAAAACATTTACTTTGAGTGTCATGAGGCCACACTTAAGCGCTTAATTGTAATGATGCAACTGAGATTAGACTATGGAAAACAGCTTCTTTGGAGTGATTAATCTTGTTATATAATCTAGCAGACCAATGCATGAGTCTGGGTTTCATAGACATTTGGGAAATGCTTTATATCCAAATATATAGCATGATATTTAAACTTGGTGATGGGTGCATCAGGATTTTAACTGCTTTTGTGATTCAGCCAATGTCTCTTAGTTCTTGTATCCAGAAAGATTAATACTGAGACATAACCCAACGTTCTTGACAATTCTACCCTTCTAATTCTCTAGCAACATCTTGGGGAAGGAAACTTTTTTTCACTGGGATAACTGTTCTATACACAGAGCTAAGTTTGTGCTACCATGGTTAATGAGAATGGCATTGAAAAACTGAAATGACGAGCATAGAACTCCAATTTTAACACTACTGAACACATATGGGAAAAATCAGAAATGGATGAAGCACCTACCCAAACCACCCAAGATTAGTGGCCAAATTCACTACAGCTCTTGTGGGTGAACGAAAAGTAATTCTTTCAGACATATAACAAAATATGATGGAATGAATCCAAACAAATGTAGGCCGTGGCTAATGCAAATAATGAACCAACACCCTGTTATTATATGTCATATGGATCTCTGATTCCACAAAAGTGGATGTTCAGATGCTTTTGGCAATACAATCTATAAACACAAATAAAAGATAGTTCCTCAACATAAAATAGTTTTACACTGTAATACAATACAATAAATCTTACCTTCCCGACAAGTTCATTCTGAGAGTAGCCAAAAAGAATGAGAGAAAAATTTGTGTTACAACTGTGGATTGTTCCATCAGGAAGCAAGGTGATCATGCCACTTATATTATTGAAAACCCACACTGTACCTTCATATGTGATATCTTTTGATTCAGTTCGTTCTCCTTTAAATAATGTAAGAGATAAATAATTTTTTAAATCAGGAGTACTGATAAGAAATAATTATTAAAATGAGCTATAAATACCTTGTTTTTGTTCTTTCATTAATGTGCCATAACTTCTTGTGCAGGGCCTAATCTTAATGCTCAGAGGAAAATGTGATCCATCTTTCATCTTGCCAGTAGCACACAGCTTAATACCTTCCTGAAAATAGTTTTAAAATTAAGCAGTTTAGTAAACGATATATATATATATATATATTTTACTTTCTAGCTACCTTTCAATTCAGCTATTAAGAAGCTATGCAACAATTACTTCCTTCATTACTCACGTTTTAAAAACTCTATAACGTAATTAACATTAAAAAAAGGCCAATTTTTTTTTAACTCCTTGCTTCTGAAGAAGTAGAATGTAATGTTGTAAAAAAAATGCTTAAAAAAACCTAATGAAAAAAAAGTAATGATGATAAGGATTCAAGAAAAACTGAATCTCTGATTTTTTTCTAACTAATTGTCTGATTTTATTTCCTTCCTCCTCTTTTTTTAAGCAAAAGAATCTTTGAAGTAAATATGCTGTGTTGAAGTAACTACAACCCTAGAATAAAATTTTTGATTTCAATTTATGAAACTTCATAATTTAGTAGCATTTGTCTGCAGGCACACATAGTTTTGATAAATTTGTATTTACCTCTTCAGAATGGGGGGGGGGGGATTATTTAAAAAAAGGAAAGTGATAACAGTACCCATTAGTTCAATAATATTTTTTTGTCTGTTTAATTAAGTGATTTTTTTGTCTGTTCAACAGGATTAATGCAGACAGGTTTTAAATTACAATAAATAATCAAGTTTTCAGTTTAAAAAATAAATATATATATTTTCATATGAAAGTTTCCATATATACTTGACCTGCGTTTAATTTAACAACTAAGTCACAATAAAATTAGAGGTAGATACTGCATTTAATTCCATTGAAAGCTAACACTGGATTATTTAAATTATACTGAATACAGCAGGTCCGAAATTTTCAGCATTTGAATTGTTTTTCATATATATAATCATACTTCAACTACCTTAATACAGATCCTAAAACAGAACTAAAGAGAATATTTGAATGTAGTACCTTTCAAATTCTAAATTAAGGCTTAAAATGAAAACAAGAAACAATATAATTTATCATGCACTTTTTTAATTTAAAAGTATTTTGTACTTAACCTTTGTTAAGTATAAAACACAGCAGTAGATTACTTTATGAAAATATGATTCTTAGTAATTTACCTTTGGCACTAATTCTCCATGATTATTTTCAGGATCAAGTTCTATAGAAGGAATTAAATCTTTTATATCCAGGTCTTTCATACTTTCAGGTTCAAGATATCCATAAAGTGTAGCAAAACTTTGATCACAGTTTATTATCCTTCCCTAAAACAAGAAGCTATCATTTATGTATGAACTAAAAATATATGAATTTATATCTTTCTTTGCTGAAAACTTTTTTATGCTTTCATGAGACAATTTTTAATTTTGTTGATGGAGAAGCTTATGCACACTTGAGTAGATATAGGTGAAATATGAAAGTGTAGATGAAGTGGGCTAAGATGTATAGTTTTAATATCAAGTTGGATTTTTGAACTTATTAAACTCCTCTTGATTTTCTGCACATAAATTGGGATAAATTATTATGCTCACTTACAATTTATAATTAGATAACCCCAGATCACTCTTTATTTAATTAGAGAAGCAACATATACAAGTTACAAATATAGCATATAAAAAAACTTATATAATTATGAACTATGAGAATATCTGACAAACAAATTCATTAAAACTTCTGCACACATTCTGGCAACCAAAATTCCCTAATAGCATTTAAACAGCAACAAAATAATCATAATTTTTGTGAATGGCACACAACATAAGTTCCCTTAAATACAAACTTAAGCAGTGTTGATTGTACAATGATTTTTTATTTCATCACTTGCACCAGTACCACAGTCCTGTAACTTTGAAAATACTGGACTGTTTACTCTTCTACAGAAGGATGATCTAGAATTTTAATTTCCTCTCTTTCTCAACGTGAGGAAAAATAGAAAAAATGTCAATTAACTTAAATCCTTCTTTAAAAAAACTAAAATGGCTTACTGAAGATGACATTTACATTAAACGAAAGCAAAGATCTTAAAAATGTGCTTTATTCATTAGCCCTAAATCACATTGATTGGGGATAATTTTTAGTCTGTCTAAAATAGACAATGGAAAAATAAAGCACCGAAATCTTTAACTTTTACAATAACTATATATAAAACTCAGAAATTATATTGGAATATAAAAAGACAGATAATTTTTTAACAATTAGTTATATGCAGTGTTATCAAGTCATACATGTCAGAACATATTCTAGTGAACAAAAATTAAGGATGAAACAGTTTTCATGTATAGCACTGCACAGCAATGTTTCAAACTGATGTAAAACAGGACAGAAGACAAAAACATCCACATGGCAGATGGTAGGCTAAAAAAAGTCCTCAGCAGAGGATATGATCAGCATTGGCTGTGATGCAAGATGTCTACCATCTGTTTAGCCTCAGTACAAGGTCATGAAGCCCTTCAGGCATCATGGTTCACTACTTTTATAGTGACAACAAGTGCAGAATCATTGCTGGTGACTTGTGATGTGCTACAGGTGTCTACTGAGAATGCCCCCCCCATGTATTATATTTAGGTTAAGTTTGGGAATCTTACAGCTACTCCAAAAAGCAAATATCTTCACTCTCCAGCCTAAGTACTATGAAATAGTATTACTATCTATGAAGAGGATTTCACAGCTCAAAGCAGCTCAAAAAAGACATACGTAAGGAATAGCATTGATATAACAATGGCCACCAATGATAAAACCATCATAGAGGATATGGAATTCCATATAGTTATCAAACAAAAACTCAGCCATCTCTAAATGATGCTTTTCAGTTTTTGGGGGTATGACCAGTGTCCCCCACTATTTCCAGATATTTAGAAAACTGGAATCACCAGCAAGGCTAAATCATCTCTCATCTGTAAAAAAGAGCACCTAACCTCATACTGAGTTCTCTAAGCATTGCCTGTGCTGTACAAAATGTTATTTCCCTTGGGAGGGTGGCAACAGCCCATTCTATACAAATTACTAAACAAATAAAACCACATGTATGCAATCTCCTTTTCCCAATAAAATGTTATATCAGGCATACAGCACTGCCTTACAATTTCACTTGTCTGTAGAACAAGAAACTGGTCTTCTGTCATCATAATTGCTCATGGACAGCTGCTCCTGTCACTTGAAATACTGCCCAGTCTCACAATGCGTGATCTCTAACTCTTTGGCTTACAGTTAACCCTTTCTCTAACTTTTCAATAATTCAAACTCCCATAAAGCTGTCCATGTGCTGTCTATGTCCATGTGCTGTCTGTTCGACATATCACATTGCACCGACTCACACCATTCAAATCAATTTGCAATAACTTCCACTGAAATGCTGAGAGAACATTACCCTTATGCTTCATACCTTGTCCAAACTACATCGTACTACGTATATGTGCATATCTTATAGTATCAGATTTTAGATAATCTCCTTATTGGTCCTTTCAGTCAGTTCTGCCAATTTATTCACCCATTATGATAATTTCTCCAAGGACAATATTCAAAGTGAAAAAAATATTGTTTGGAAAGAAGTTTCACAAAAGTAAAATGTTTATAATTGAATATGAATAAACTATATTAAGAACATCAAACACGTTATAACGTTTAATATTTATATTTGCATCAAGTCTAAAAACCTTAGAAACATTAGAATACCTTTTTTAACAGAAACAAAAGGGCTAGAACTTGATCTTTAAAACTTTTCTTTTGATTTAGAACTCTTTAAAAAATGCTTTAATTTAAAAAAAAAAAAAAAAAAAAAAAGGAAAACATCTGTTTAGAAATAACATGTTCAAAAATTTAAAATTTATCACAAATGTTCCACTTTTAAAATTAGCAGTATATATATATATATATATATATATATATATATATATAGATATCTATATATATATATTATATATCGGTACTTTTAGTAATATTACAAAATCTTACCAACAAATCAAATTTAACTAGCCCTGTAACACGTTCAACAGGTTCCATGACAACTAAGCAACGAGGATCTTCATCAGTATACAGTTGCCTAGCCCATACAGACACAGGAATCGTTTCTTTTGTTGGAGAAACAAGATCCATCTTGAAATTTAAGGGGGAGAAAAAAGATAATTAAATTAGAAGATGCATAAAAAGTATTGTTTCATATTTATTAGAGATGTAAGGAAAAACCATGAGGATTAACAGTTTATCTAAGAAATAAGCTGAACCTCTTCTAAATTCCTTTGTTAAATTTGCAGTTAAAGACCAACTACTTTCTCCTGCAATTTTTTGCATATACAGACTTTATTTATGAAAATTATAACACATATAGGACAACTGTTTCACAATCTTTTCTCACAACAAAAGATGAAATAAAAACAATATAAAATACTTTTAATTTACCTATATTGACATACATATGAAACATTTTTGAGAATTCTGAAGCTTAATATTTTCATTAAAATGCAACTGATGTATCAGAACTAAGTTAAATAAATGAGAATAATGAAACTGATATTTAAAAATCAAAACTGAACAACTAAAACATTTATTATAAGAAAGAAGACATTTGACTGTTTACATAATGTTCAAAACTGGAAATATTTATTAAAATATTTAAATTAGTTGTGGATTTTATGTCATAATACATTTACATCAATCATTAATTTAATGAAACTGATTTTAAAAATAAAGTTCTGAGTAGCATAAGGAACTTCCAATTTCTTTTAAATTTATTGGAGAAAGAAACCACATAAAAATTCAAAATATTTAATTAAAAATTAAATTAAGATGTTCTAGAAATAAATTCATGCATGCACAGGACCTATGTACCATAATTTGTATATGTGCAGCAGTTTAAATGAAAGTTCATTAGCAAAAGTTAGATGTAGATGTTCCCAATCCTGAATCACCGAAAAAAGAAAAAAAAAAATTGGGTAGAAGAAAGAAACTATGTAGAATTCTTCCTCTGCTTACAGAAGTTATATATCTACTATACGTGGAATAAAAAAAAAGAAAGAAAGAAAGAAAAATTAAAATTGTAATCGTACAGAATTTGGTGAGCAAACAGTTAAATATTATGGACTTTTTTAAAATACTAAATTATCTTATTTAAAATAAAAAAACATAAATATAAGAGTAAAATCTGAACTCTTTTTCACAAACATAAAGTACATCTGTACATTTAAAACCAAGGTATTTTAGAAAAAAAAAATAACAAACCACTTTTCCAGAAAAAAGAACTAATTCCCCAGAAGGTTCTAAATCAGTTTCTGTGAAAAAGCACTGATCTTCTCGTGAAAGTATGAAATCACACAATCTTGTTTTGTTCACAGTTTTTTCTTTAATACCAAGTAGATATGATGCTACTTTATTGGCAGTCAAAATCTAAAATAAATTATAACTATTAATTTCAAATACTTGCAAAAAATTACACTGGAATGATAATTATTTATCATCTGTTCACATGTGGTGATTAAAAAAAAAGTATTGGAAATGATTAATTTAAAATGCATACATGCTAAAAACCCTTGCTAATTTTTCAAAAGTTGTTATAACTTCAGTTGACATTTGGTAAAAATCCCTATTTCATTTTCTTTTGTCAATAAATAAATTTATTGTTAATGAATAAAGAATTTTTGCCGAGAAATTTCCCAAAATGGCAAATATGATTGAATGGGTGCTTTTCTGTTAATGGGGCACCAGTCGCCAAATAATGGTCAAAGCATCAAACATGATAGTCTGTTTACATCACATTCAGCAATATCTGCACTGCAAATAAGCTATAAAATGAATACCAACCCAGCAATTTTCCATCCTAGATTTTCAGTTACTTTTGTGTTGAAGTGCAGATAATTGGTTATTTTTCTCAGAATTTATGTGTGATGACAAATTTATGTAGTGTTCTGATGTTTTCTTAAGCAAAAACATGCACACAGCCTTGACACTGTGCCACATTACATTACGAAAACTTCCCTGATACATGAACACTTAAAGTCCTCCGCTCAACCAAGTCAAATGAAATTTCAGATTTAGTTATTTGAAAGTATGTAGTTGAAATCGACATGATTTAAAACAGTACAGCTCTCACAATTATGGTTACAATGAAAAAATTTCAAAATTTTAAAATGGTAACACCTACTTTTTCCTACACAAATTCATCAGTGCACTGAAAAGTCATAAATGTCATTGGAACAATACACATATGATGAAAACTGTCAAGGTAAAACTTTTGTAAAGAGCATTGTAATAGACCACTGACAACACAAAGAGAAGGTGTATTGACCTACTTTACATAATTTACGGGAATAGACAGTAGAAGCACCAATCACAGAACACCATGTGTCAAACACTGCTTTTAGAAAACCTTTAATTTAAACCTTTAATAAGCGGTGTGGGAAAACTGTTTCTTCAAGCAGGTGTTCGAACATGCTAACAAAATGACACTTACAGGGAAACAAGGTGAACCGATAAAGCTATTTTATCTGAATGGAGAAAATGCTGCTGAAGCAGTGCAAGTTTATTGGCAAAATCAATAAAACGATGTTTTGTAAAACTGTATGCGATTTGGTAAACAAATTTGAAGAAACTGAATGTACATGTGACAGAACATGATCCATCACAAGTACTCACAACAGTATGAAAACATACTCCATTACAATACAAGAATGGTGCAGAATTAAGTAATTCCAGAATCGTAGCAGTGAAATGTTGTTAATGGCATTGCATGAATGCAGGATGGTGCTCCTTCACACCACGTCACATGTGTTCAACAAGCACTTTGGAGACAGAGTCATTTCCTACAACTTTGCTGTTTCAAGGCCACCATGATCCTATGATCACTTCTAGTTCTGGGGTTATCTAAAATCTGAGGTGTATTATACATGGAATCCATGATAATCCTTGTCAGAATTCAAAGGTGCCGTAAAACATGAAGTTATATAGATTCCTCCTCCATTAATGTTCCTGTTAACAAAAAACAAAACAAAACAAACAAACAAAAAAAAAAAAAAAAAAAAAAAAAAAAAAAAACTGGGCAAAGAACATACATTACATTTTGGAATGGTTGGCAATGGAATTTTTCCTATAAAAGCATTTAGAATACTCCAAAAAGCCTTTCAGGAGAATAAGTATCGAAAACAAAAGCATCTGAATAGTGCATGATGTTTAAAGAAAGTACAGGATGAATAGAAGATGAGTTACAGTCTGGTAGATTATGTACTTCAACTAATAAGGTACATACAAATCAGCTCATAAATATGACACTTAATGATCCTTATTTAACAATTAAGTATTCTATTGGGAAAATTCATGTATCATATAGCTTCTGCCAAGTAATTCTGAAAGATCATTTGGGCTTGAAGCACAAATCACTAGTTGAATTGCTCCGAAACCAACAACATGTTAAGTGGCCCAGGATAAGCTTTCTCAAAACAAGTCCTTCTTAAAGCACATTATTATGAATGGTGAAACATAGACTATGTTTTTGATGTAGAAATATCTCAAAAACAAGTAGCTGGTGCTCAAAATTTGAAATAAAACTAAAGAGACCATGTCACAGTCAGTCAAAAATCAAGGTAAATTTGACTGTTTTCTTTAATTGCCATAGTATTGTGTATCATGATTTCTAACTGGCCAGACGGTTAACAAAGAATATTATGAATATTTGGTAGTATCTACTCGAAGCATTCTGTGGAAAATAATCTGAATCACTGAGAGAAAAATCATGAATTCAGCAGCTGCTAACAAAGCTCTCACTGTTCGTGAATTTTTGAGCTCAACAAATATGATTCCATAAAATTTGTATTAACCTGATAAGACACAATGTGACTTAATCTTATGTCTGCTATGAAACTGTCACTTTGTAATTCACTGTATCGCGTCTATTGATGTAATAAAAGAAAATTTGTTCAAAGTCTCGAAGGAGTTTTCCAAATATAATTGAAAAACAGTTTTTAAAAATTCAAAAAAGTGTTGGCATAACTGTATTGCAGTCAGAAGGGATTACCTAAGAGGGAATGCTAAAAAAATTGACCAATAAACTGAAATCTTGCATTTTCTGATATCATTCCCAATACTTATTAATCACAGTAATATTTTAATAAGAATTACTTAGCATTATTATTAACATTTTAAAGGAAATGTTTTATTTGTAATCATCATAAATACACAGAATAAGAAAGTACTAAAAAATTTACATAGTTCACGTTTAGCCTAAGAGCATAATTTCATATTTCTAAGTATTCTGTGAGGGATACTGATTTCCAAACCAGAAAATATATCAAACTAAAACTCAAAGATACAGGCAGCTTTCAAACACAAACCCTGCATTTACAGCTAATAACTTTGCTCACTATATTGATTTCAGTCATGTTAGGAAAGTAATTAAAAATTCTTGTTTATCTTTTTAAACAATAAACCTATAAAAATTTCATCAATAAATAAATTCAACTTAAAAATTAATAAATAGTGTGATAATAAAGTCTTATGAATTTTTTCCAAATAATTCCTCCATAATATTGTCAAAAAGGGGAAGCACAGATAACAAATGTTGAAAAAAGGGTACTAGATAAAGAACTGAAATTTCTGCTATACTTATTTCTGCAATAATTCTTAAATTTGATTGCATCAAAGATTGAAGTTGAATAAAAAAAACTATTGCAACATATAAGGTGCATATTTTAAATAAATCAGCAGACTGAAAAGAGATACTTGCAATAGCCGAAGTTTTTTAAGTTAGAAAACTTCAAGTATTGAGACTTTTAATACTTATTTTACATTATCACTAATTAGTAGCAGAGATTTCTAGTTTAAACTTTTGTCAGAAGTCTTCCTTAACCTTCCAGCACGTGCGCTTGGCAATTTTACACGAGCACGCGCACGTTGTATTTTTTACGACATCCGTTATTTTACCATTTGGGGCACGAAAAACAACAGAAATGAGTGAATATTGATAATAAATTTGTTAAAAAACAAAATATTAATCTTATTATTGCAAAATACAAATGATATCGCCTTCAAATATAAGTAAAAGTTCTTATGTTAGTGAGATGGAAACGCAATGCAAAACTGAATTTGTCGTAAATTTTGTGCATACGCGCATGCTGGAAGGTTAATAATGTATTATATGAAGGTGTATGTCAGAATGAGCAGTTATGGCTTAGTAATTAAGTAATACAAAAACCATAACCAAAATAAAAAATTATTACCATCACTTGAAGATTAAGAAAACTGAACAGAAATTGATTCCAACAACACAAAATGCAAAACTTAAAAGATGTAATTTAAAAATTCAAACTTAAAATGTATGTGGGATTGCACAATGCCTAATTATTAGTAAATTATTATAAATTAAAACATTACCATTTGCAGTTTTCTCCTGAATTTAGTTGTTAACAACAGAGTAAGATAAATTACTCATAGCAACAATTCAATGCAGGTCAGTTAAAACAGTTATCAATTAAAGTTAGGGTCTGCTGTTTATAAAGCCATTTAACCATTTCTTTATGTCATCTAATTTACATCTCAGGATGCATTTACAACAATACAATAACTTTATAAGGGGAAAAATACATATCCAGTGAGTTTTTGAAAGAAATGTGTATTCTGATATCAAATTTTTTAGCCAACTTTGCAAATAAAGTCTTTTATCAGATAAAATTATTAATAAAACCTACCATAATGAGAGAAATGGACAAAAGGAAGGTATACCTATCATATCTAAAACATAAAAATTAAAAGGATAAAATTTAAAAGAAGTTTTATCTTTACTACAACAATAAAATAAAAGGAGAAAAGAGAAAGAGGTAACAGAAGACCCTGAAACACAAAAATGATGTAAGAATATTGATTAATATGCAATAAATAAATTAGAAATTAACCAAATAAGGTAGATATAAGTAACTATGAGAACCATGCTTAATTGTTTTAACTTTAGAAATCCTTCATTGTGGTTTGGTTTAATTTAATTATGGCAAAGCACTTAAGAGCTATCTGACTAAGGGGAGGAATGCCTTCGTGGAGAACTTTCTAAGGGAAAACAGGCTCACATATCCGTTACACATGTAGAAAACCACAGAAATGCCCATGTAGCCAGCCCATTTACCGGGATTCGAACCCTGGACCAAACTACCAGTGCTTAACCACAGCCACTGGTGGTTAAGCACTGGTGTTAAGCACTTTACCACAGGGCCGCTGGTGGCCTCTTCTATTGTGGATTATCAACTGAAATTGGATCACCAAACTAAATTTGTTGAAGCTTTCTTGAATAAACATTTACATGGTAACTTATTTTCGTACATAACACAGAAATAACACAGCCAGATGTTTCAATAATTATTTAAATTTAAAAGGCAAGGAAGTATATCTTTTTAGCTTATTTGCAAATG